TAGATAGGGTTTTGAAATGGTCAAAGGATTGGCAGATGCAGTTAATGCCGATAAATGTAAAGTTCTGAGGTTAGGTAATGATGATAGAGTTACAAGATACGAGCTAGATGGTGTTGTGATTGCGAAGTCGGATTGCGAAAGGGATCTGGGAGTTATGATTAGTAAGAATTTAAAACAAAAGGATCAATGCATAAATGTTCGTAATAAGGCAAATCGGACACTTGGATTTATTAATCGCAGCGTTAGTAACAAGACACCTGGTGTGGTTCTCAAGCTATATCTTGCTCTAGTTAGGCCCCATTTAGATTATGCAGTTCAGTTTTGGTCGCCATATTATAGAATGGATATAAATTCACTTGAACGTGTCCAGCGTAGGATGACTAAGTTAATTCCCCAAATTAGAAATCTTTCATATGAAGAAAGATTAACAAAGCTTAAGTTGCATTCACTGGAAAGGCAAAGAGTTAGGGGTGACATGATAGAGGTTTACAAGTGGATGAATGGACATAACCAGGGGGATATTAATAGGGTATTAAAAGTATCAACACAGGACAGAACACGAAACAATGGGTATAAATTGGATAAGTTTAGATTTAGGAAAGACTTGGGTAAATACTGGTTCAGTAACAGGGTTGTTGATTGTGGAACCAATTGCCGCGTAACATTGTGGAGGTGGGGTCCCTCGATTGTTTCAAGCACGGGTTGGACAAGTATATGAGTGGATTGGGTGGTTATAGAATAGGAGCTGCCTGTATGGGCCAATAGGCCTTCTGCAGTTACCTTTGTTCTTATGTTCTTATGTTCTTAAATCTAAACTTATCCAATTTATACCCATTGTTTCGTGTTGTCTTTTTTTTTTTTTTTTTTTTTTTTTTTTGAGATATATACAAGAGTTGTTACATTCTTGTACAGCCACTAGTATGCGTAGTATCCACTAGTTTTGGGCAGGTCCCTGGAATACGATCCCCTGCCGCGAAGAATCGTTTTTTCATCCAAGTACACATTTTACTGTTGCGTTAAACAGAGGCTACAGTTAAGGAATTGCGCCCAGTAAATCCTCCCCGGCCAGGATATGAACCCATGACATAGCGCTCTTGAGTTGATACTTTTAATACCTATTAATATCCCTTTGTTATGTCCATTCATCCACTTGTAAACTTCCATCATGTCACCCCTAACTCTTCGTCTTTCCAGTGAATGCAATTTAAGCTTTATTAATCTTTCTTCATATGAAAGACTTCTAATTTGGGGAATTAACTTTGTCATCCTACGCTGGACACGTTCAAGTGAATTTATATCCATTGTATAGTATGGCGACCAAAACTGGACTGCATAATCTAAATGGGGCCTAACCAGAGCAAGATATAGCTGAAGAACCACACCAGGTGTCTTGTTACTAACGCTTCGATTAATAAATCCCAGTGTCCTATTCGTCTTATTATGAACATTCATGCATTGATCATTTTGTTTTAAATTCTTACTAATCATAACTCCCAGATCCCTTTCGCAATCCAACTTCGCAATCTCAACACCATCTAGCTCTTATCTTGTAACTCTATCATCATTACCCAGCCTCAAAACTCTACATTTATCAGCATTAAACTGCATCTGCCAATCTTTTGACCATTCTAAAACCCTATTTAGATCAACTTGATGTGATAGCGAGTCTTCTTTCGTGTTGATTTCCCTACCGATTTTTGTATCATCTGCAAATTTGCAGATGTTGCTACTCAAACCTGAATCTAAATCATTTATATATATTATAAACAACAGAGGTCCCAGGACAGAGCCCTGAGGTACTCCACTAACAACATTTTCCCACTCTGACTTAACCCCTTAACCCCTAACTTAACTTAGGGGCCTCGTAACCTGGTGGATAGCGTGCAGGATTCGTAATTCTGTGGCGCGGGTTCGATTCCTGCACGAGGCAGAAACAAATGGGCTAAAGTTTCTTTCACACCTGAATGCCCCTGTTCCCTAGCAGTAAAATAGGTACCTGGGTGTTAGTCAGCTGTCACGGGCTGCTTCCTGGGGGTGGAGGCCTGGTCGAGGACCGGCCACGGGGACACTAAAGCCCCGAAATCATCTCAAGATAACCCCATTTATACTAACTCTCTGTTTCCTTTGGAATAGCCATGCCCTAATCCAACTTAATGTAGCACCCCCAATACCATGAGCTTCTATTTTTTTAATTAATCTTTCATGTGGCACTGTATCAAAAGCTTTGCTAAAGTCAAGGTACACAACATCACAATCCTTACCACTATCAACTGCCTCAACTATGCTGGAATAAAAAGTTAGCAAATTTGTTAAACATGAACGGCCATTTGTAAAACCATGATGCGACTCATTTATTAATTATATTTTTCAAGATGGAGACGAATTGTATCTGCAATTATTGATTCAAGTAACTTTCCCACAATAGACGTTAGGCTAATTGGTCGATAGTTTGATGCAAGTGATCTATCTCCTTTCTTAAAAATTGGTACCACATTAGCTACCTTCCATGACTCTGGCACTATGCCTAACTCTATTGATTTGTTAAATATGGTAGACAGTGGCTCGGAAAGCTCCTCTTTGCATTCTTTAAGGGGTTAAGAACAAGAGGTCATAGATTTAAACTAGCTAAACACAGATGCCTAAGAAATATAAGAAAATTCATTTTCGCAAACAGAGTGGTAGACGGTTGGAGCAAGTTAGGTGAGAAGGTGGTGGAGGCCAAGACCGTCAGTAGTTTCAAAGCGTTATATGACAAAGAGTGCTGGGAAGACGGGACACCACGAGCATAAGCTCTCATCCTGTAACTACACTTAGGTAATTACACTTAGGTAATTACCTTTCCAAGATGTTCTGTAAGTACTGCTCTTGGTGCTTTGGGCCACCTTCCACAAGTCACCTTGGGATCTACCTCTGCTTGGTCATTTGCTACTCAGTGATCGACTGCCCTTAGTGTGCTGGGGTGTTTTCTACACCCCCAGTTTGCCTTTGGGATGGGGTAGTTTGCACTGGTAGGGGCGCAGGGTATTGCACAGGGTACTGCACAACTGGTTATCACCTCTTATTGTGGCCGGCTCTGTTCTGCCTTGGCACGTTGTCCTCTTGCTGGGTTTTTCTTTTGTTTTTGTTTTCCTGCCTGGTGTAGGGGTCTGCCTCCCCCTTGTGTTAGGTTGTTACCATTGTCTTGGTGGTACCTCCACTAGGTCCACTCACATGGACACGTCCCGGGGTTCATCATCGGGATGGGGTGCATCTATCGAGGGCTGGGGTTGTTGCTGTTGCGAACTCGTTGGAACTAGTGGTTAGAGGTGTTTGTTTGGGTTTAAACTGTTAGTAGATAGTGGTATGGGAATTGATTTGGAGGAAGGAGATAATAAAAGTATGTATTTAGGGGAGAAAGGAATTGGCAAATGATCAGGGAAATTGAAGGGCCTCAAAATAACAATTCACTTAGGGTATATTACACTAACAGTAGAAGTCTAAGAAATAAAATAAACGAATTAAATGCTCTTGTCTGCACAGAAAAAATAGATATTATCGCGCTTACCGAAACGTGGATGAATGTAGAAAATAGAGAACTATTAGCTGAATATCAAATAAATGGATTTAAACTATTTCACACAGATAGATATATTAGACGAGGAGGGGGAGTAGCCATATACGTTAGGGACAATTTGAAATGTAATCTCAAAGAGGGAATCAAATCTGAGCCACAGACAGAAACTATTTGGATAGAATTAAACGAAAAAGCGAATAATATTACAATAGGAGTTATATATAGGCCACCAAATTTAGACAGAATGGAAGCAAAGCATCTATGGGATGAAATATCTAGAGCATCTAGATCTAACAGTATTTGTCATGGGTGACTTTAATTTTAGTGGAATAAACTGGTTGAACAAAACAGGGAATAATGAAGCAAAAGATTTTCTAGAATTAATTGACGATTGCTTTCTTTCACAACACATTAAGGGGCCAACGCGGGAAAATAATTTTTAGATTTAGTGTTAACTAACAGGGAAACACAAATTAAGGACATCGAAATAGGGAATGAGCTAGGGAACAGTGATCACAAAGAAATCAGATTTAGCATAGAATGGAATAGATCTGTAGGAGAAAATTCTGTTAAAGTACCTAATTTTCGAAAAGCTAATTTCAATAACCTAAGAAATTTATTGGGTCAAATAGATTGGAAAGTCTTGGGTATGGGGTGTGGGCCGGTCTTGGAGCTAGACGTGAACCCAGCGATAGGTGACGTAAAAGGGGTTTTCAATGTGGACTCGAAATATAACCTATTAAAAATATTCTAAGCGAAGCCCAGGAATGTAGTATACCATATAAATTGAATAGATCGAATACTAATGATCCAAAGTGGATAACAAAGGATCTGAAGAACCTTATAGGTAAAAAGAGAGCGTGGTACAAAGGATTAAGAATGGGGAAGTCAGTTTAGAACAGGAATTCGTACAACTGGTTAGAAATACTAAAAAAGAGATAAGGAAAGCCAAAAAAAACTATGAAGTTCGCATAGCAGAGCAAGCAAAGACAAATCCTAAAGGGTTTTTCCAGTTATACTGGACAAAGATTAGGGAAAGGATAGGTCCATTAAAAAAAGCAAAAGAATTTTTTCAAGAGAATTTATTTCCTGCGCCCTGAGGGGGGGGGTGTGTGTCATATTTGGAGGCGGCACAGTTAAAGGGTTAAACCAGAATAGGGGTTTGTTTTGGGATTCTTACCTTTCTGGGAGCCTGACCTGGTCGATGGCAGACATAGAATGCTTTCAATCATATGGGAGTTAATATAGGCCATTGCTCCTTGTGCCTCTCTGAGGGAGGCCAGGTTCTGGTGCGTGGTCCCGGTAGGCCTAAGAATTCCATTCACACTGACTGATGCCAAAGTGTAACATATCCATATCAGCCTGGATAAGCTCTGGGAAGCCTCCGGGTCTCACCCAGAAAATGGTGTTTCATTACATTCATTGCTGTTTTTTTTTTTTTTCATAGAAGCAGGTCTGCGGTAAATGTATATGGTCCTGTTAACAAGCCACCCATATTTTGTACACGTATTGAAGAGAGGTGGGAGAGAATGTGGCAACGCGGACGCCCCAGGTCAGTATTTGATACGCATGGGTAAGACTTTGTCTCTTGGACAATCAAAAATACTCTAGTTTAATATTTATTTGTTGATGTTATTAAATGCATGGATATGTTAAATGACTGCCAATAGCAGTCAGCAACAAGCAAAGCAACAAGCCAGCAATCTTGTCTCCCACAGACAAATCAAACTGTCACAACTCTCACTCGTTAACTCATAATTATACAGACACTTGACAAATCAAGCATTCAGTGAGTAATTACCTCAATTACTGTAAACCAGACAGTTAATTAATCCCAAAACGAGTTACGTTATCGGATACTATCACCCACTCAATATCTCACCACAATTATATGTCCAAAGTACTATTAGGATGGTAATTACCTTTAATTACCCTGAGCAATTAATTACATCTCACGGATCAATAATTAATTCTACACGTATACGTTACACTCAACCCTGGCTCAACAGTTCCAAAATCAAAACAATGTAAATCCACTCTGGAATGTTAACTAGCCCTAATTAACTGGACTGATTAATTAACTGTCCCATGGACCGATAATTATGTTGTCACGTTATATATCCAAGCTGATCGCTAATTACCCTAATTATGCGGCATTAATTATTACCTGTCCAACTGACATAATAAATACTGACTGTGCTACTCTAACACAATTATGTTGCCCTCATGTCAGCCAATCAAATCCTGAATGAAGTTAATTACCCTAATTAGCATAACCCTAAATTACCTGTCCTACTGACAGATACTTATAGCCAGATGTTTACTTTAATGCAACCACTGCCGCCCTCCCAGCAATTATTCAGCACTGTATAACTTCCCTTGGCGATACTAATTACCCCCAATTAGATTGAGCAACCAATTAGCTGTTCTGCAGAAAAATAATTGAACCCGAACATATTATGTTACTCCAAACATTTTAACACGAACACTTTCCCTTATCAAGCAATGGGTGTTCCCTTGGTTGACATTAAACCCTTACCTAACACTCACTGAATCCTGAACTTCGACAATCAAGGATTTACACCAAGTCCTCATTTCGCCGACAAGCAAACCCACGACACACAAATCACAACACTCAGTGATCTAATTAAAGGCTAATTAGGATCACTGCCAACACACATACAGCCCACTGCAATGGTAATTACGGAAAAGCTCAGTACATGTAATGACACACTTGGCTCCATGATACTATAATTGTATATAATACCCCACTGACCACACTTGCAGCACCTGCAATTAAACACTATGTGGAATTGCTGTGGCATTAATTACTCTCTTAATTGAACTTGGGGTAAGTAATTAGCAATTCCACTGATGGATAATTACTCCCACGAATTTACACTAACTCTACGGAGCCGTCACTCCCGACAGCGACGTTAATTACTTGTAATCATAGATCCATCAAGTTACGTTACACTGGTCAGCCACATATCATATAATACCCCGAGCTATACTTATATATATATATGTCGTACCTAGTAGCCAGAACGCACTTCTCAGCCTACTATGCAAGGCCCGATTTGCCTAATAAGCTAAGTTTTCATGAATTAATTGTTTTTCGACTACCTAACCTACCTAACCTAACCAAACCTATCTTTTTCGGCTACCTAACCTAACCTAACCTATAAAGATAGGTTAGGTTAGGTAGGGTTGGTTAGGTTCGGTCATATATCTACGTTAATTTTTACTCCAATAAAAAAAAATTGACCTCATTCATAATGAAATGGGTAGCTTTATCATTTCATAAGAAAAAAATTAGAGAAAGTATATTAATTCAGGAAAACTTGGTTTATTAGGCAAATCGGGCCTTGCATAATAGGCCGAGAAAAGTGCATTCTGGCTACTAGGTACGACATATATATATATATATATATATATATATATATATATATATATATATATATATATATATATATATATATATATATATATATATATATATATACACACACACAACACACACACACACACACACACAGTGGTACCTCGCAAAACGATCGCCCCAAAAGGCGAACATTTTGGGTAACGAACGGCCCGATCGGCGTCAAATCGTCCTGCATGGCGAACGCTCGTTTGAGTAACGTCAACACCTCATGGTGGGGTCGCAGTGCACATAAATTATGTTGTTCTTGTTTAAAGATGCTAATGATGCTGGGATATAAAGGGGTGACTGCTGAGATGTTGCAAAGTATTGACGTTTTTGTAGAAAAAAAAAAGAAATTTCTGATATACAGTACAACAAATGTCAAAAAGGTTCGTTCGGTGTTTGGCAGGTAGGCTGCTCCATTATAACAATCTTTCTTTGTTTCAAATGTGTTCCATTTATTTTGTATTTGTCATTTACATCTCAATAATGGAGAAGCCTACCTTACATACACTGAACAAACCATTATGACATTTTCCTTTCTTCAAATGTGTTCAATATTTATTTTTCATTTATCTTATAGCAAAAGGTTCGTTCGGTGGTCGGCAGGTAGGCTGCTCCATGTTTCTTAAATAAAAAAATAAAAGAACTGTTGAAACAATTTGAAAAATTGTCAAATGCCATAAAGGTTTGTTCAGTGTTTCTCGGGTAGGCTGCTCCATTATTGAGACTTAAGTGACAAATACAAAACAAATGGAACACATTTGAAACAAAGAAAGATCGTCATAATGGAGCAGCCTACCCGACAAACACTGAACGAACCTTTTGCTATAACGAATATGAAAGACTAGGGCTGCTGGCTGGGTTAGTACTGCATGAGCAACCATTGTGGCACACGTGCCTCTGGCTCCCAAATACCTGTCCGACACAATGTTGAAAGACTGCGCTCAGTGAAATTCAGACCTTATTGTTTGAAGAACATAAGGGTCATAATATTGGTGAAGCTATGCGCAATAAGGACTTAACACAACGGTCGGATGCAAGTGATACAGCACCTATGAGGATGATACAGCGAGCGTATCCAGTTGTAGCTCTGAGCCCCACCCTTGCCATCTCCAATTTATATAGATGATACATAGATGAATCGTTTTCTGCGTTCAGTGATGATGCATCTGATACAAGTAGCATAGATGAACAGTGTTAGCGGCTTCCATGGTGGAGTTTTCCATAGATATTTTCAATAATACCTGAATCTCTTCCTGACTGATGGACACTCTTTGAGGCTAGCTGCATCTCTTCCTGTGTGGGACCTTACAAAGCGATCTTTTCAAGACTACCTTACAATTTGAGCTTCTCCTATAATCGTTTCAATACTACCTTATGCTTTACAAGCTTGGCTACATACCACCTACAAGTACTAAAGCCAAGGGTGCACGCAAGTGCATTATTTGCAAGCACACAGAACAATGAAACAGGAAGCGAAAATCTATCTGTACCTGGTGCAAGGAGAGCAAAGTCGTGCTGTGTACCATGGACTACTTTGTTGATTATTACGCACCTCCAAAGTACTGAGTGTGTAATATAGTGTGTTACTGTGTAAATAGTATGTGAAACTGTACATATTGTAATTTTAGTGAATTTTTACCACGTAATATTGTGAAAATAAACATTTATTGTGGACACATTGCTGACACATGTATCACAGTTCCATGGAAAATTATGAACGTTCTACTGTATACATATTGTAAAGGTCACAAATATGCATCATATACGATAAAAGAAACAAATAAAACCGCATTGGAAATACATAGAAAAAATATTTGAAAATATATTTGTGGCAACACGCGGTGCGTGAATGGCCTGCGCGACCGTGTCTGGGAGCTTGACACACGGGCGACCAGCCCCTGATGACGTCACAGCGCACCTTATCCACGTCCTCACAGCCAAAGTAAGTGGAATTTGCTAATTATTTTTACATAGACATGTTCAGGGATGGTAATTTATCATTTTACAAAGAAAAATTACTTTTTTGGGAACATTTGATGTCATGCACACTGGGGGAATTTCACAATAAACACAGTGCATCACAGTGATTAAATGGGGATATTTGTTTTGTATGACGTCCGTTTCACATGACGAACACGGAACGGATTAAATTCGTTATTCGAGGTACCACTGTATATATAAACTGAAAACTCCACACCCCAGAAGTGACTCGAACGTATACTGCTAGGAGCACTATGCAACTGGTGTACAGGAGACCTTAACCTTAACCGCTCGACCATCACGAATGGACTAAATATGATGATAGCCGAGGCTATTTCCCCATCATCTCGCCGGCGCTCTGATGGTAATCTTAGGCGTGGTATTTTATGAAATCACTTCATTTTTTAGGGCCACGTGAGCAACATAAATGCGAACAAGCCTGAATGGTCCCCAGTACTTGCTGCCTACCTCCTAGCATCTCTCCCTACCTCCCCCTCCCTCCTAGCATCTCTCCCTCCCTCCCTTTCTGACTAATTCTCCCCCTCTCTCTCACTGATTCTCCCCCTCTCTCTCATACTGCCTCCCACCTAAGCTCCCCCATCCATCCACCCACCAGTCAGCCATTACTGACGCAATGGGTGCATTTGGAGCCAACATGGTGCACATATGTTTCTTGATTGTGCAGATATGTAAAATAAAAGCACAGAATGAATATTCCAGCCTCATGACAATTCAAAGTAATAGGAATAATATACTGTGAATCTGTGAAGTCACAGTGGGCAAACTGGACCATCTCCCACCCACCACCACAGGCCGGCGTGACGCTTGGCGGACCCCTTTCTACCCGAACAAAGTTCGGGTAGCTGAAAACTCACACCCCAGAAGTGACTCGAACCCATACTGCCAGGAGCAATGCAACTGGTATTTACAGGACGCCTTAATCCGCTTGACCATCACGACCGGACATAAGGAAGTGATAGCCTTTCTGGGTTCAGGCACCCAGAAAGGTAGGCATGCCAAAACAAACCCCACATGGTAAAAAACTAAAACAAAAAAACGAACAGAGAGGTAGAAACTCCCTACAATCCCAAGGAAACAAGCAAACATCACACTTTACTGCCGTGCCGATCATCTGCGCAGCC